CCATGCACTGCGTGGAACGTCCACTCCCCGACCAGGTGTCCACAGGGCCTCCCACCATGCACTGCATGGAACGTCCACTCCCCGACCAGGTGTCCACACGAGCTGCATGGGGCTCCCCTACTGACCACCAGGAGAGGCAGCAGGCCTTTATGCCAAGAGTCTCCGGGTGACCCTAACCGCCAACCCTTAGGTTAAAGTCGGCAGGTTTAGTGGTTCACACCACTATATCTATATTTCTGTATCTTTGGAAGCAGGATCTGCATCCACTTCCGTAAATAGCTTGCCTCCGGAAACCCTATGAACGTGGGGCAAGGATGAAAGTCACACACACAAGTGTTGAGGACTTTGGTTCACAGGGTCGCTAAGAATTGCCTACGACTTGACAGCACTCAACAACAACCTATCTCTATCTGTACGCGTGCATGTATACGTGCATATATATTATGTGTATGTACATGTAAATGCACGCACATCTATGGACATACAACACACATATATACACACATACACATCACATCTATTATGTAGACAGACCTATCTTTTTCTCTACTTATGATTACAGAGAGATATACAGGTATATAAATATGGTGGCGGTGTGTGCTGTCAATCGGAACCGACCCACAGCTGACCCTCCCGCGGGTTTTCAGAGGCTGTTAACTGCACAGGAGACTGACCACCTTCCTCCCACAAGCAGCTGGTGAATTTGAACTGTGTGCCTTCAGGATTACAGCGTGGCTTCTTCCAACTAGGCCACCAAAGCACCTGAGATAATACAGCTATGTATGGAGATATCTATAGATCTATGCACCAGATATACAGCTAAACACAGAGATAGATCAACATACTATCAATATACATAGATAGAAACACACACACACACACACACACACACACACACACACACACACATGTGCTGGGGCCGGCCTGAGGGAGGTGCACCACCCCACCACCACCACCACCAAAGGCTGCTTCTCTCTGCTGGTTCGAATCCCCCAGCAGCCCCATGGAGAGAGGTGGGGACCCCTGTGTGAGCTGCACCCTCAGGCCCAGTGGGTGGGCTGTGCATCACGCAGGATCAAGGCTGTGGGCTGAGGAGAGCAGACGTCCGTTCTGCTGCCCATTTCCACTGAGTCCGTGGGCACTCAGAGACCCCCAGGGCCAAGCAGGACCACCCATGGGGTTTCCAGGGTGTAAATCTTTAGAGGTGCACTGCCTCCTCTTTCCCCCATGGAGAGGCTGCGGCGTCGGACCACTGACCTTGAGGTTAGCAGTTAGACAGTAACCGCTGTGCTGCCGCAGCCCGTGTGCTTATACACAGAATATACACATTTTTAAAAAATGTCTAAACATTCATTTCTCGCCCCTAAAAGAAGAGCAACGTAAGAAAAATCTGCCTCAGAAACAGACTCGATGCCAAAGGTCAAGCTGCTGTTTGGTGTCGGGTCAGAGCTGACCCACAGCTGATCTGCCAGTGGGCTCCCCGAGGCAGTATCCTCCTGCAAGCAGCTGGTGTATTTGAACCGCGTGCCTTTGGGTTGACAGCGCAGCTCCTCACCACTAGGCCACCAGAGCTCCCTCATGTCTGAACCGGAGTGTTACTTATTTCAACAGGTCAAAACAAACACAAAATCCAGACGACGTGAGGAAGGCTAGTGGCTAAAGGATTACACAAAGGCCATCCACGCGTCCCCAGGACAGGGCGCCAGTGCAGACGCCAGACCAGACCGCGCTGGCACCTCAGGCAGCCTCCCCGGGTGGCCAGCTCACCACAGCCCGTGGATGGTCCAGTAGTCCGGAGGGTCCGAGCAGTTGCTCTGCACTTCCTGCGGAGAAACAGAGACACCGTCGGTCTGTGCTCAAGCCCTGGGCTGCCCTGCTTCCTGGTCAGCCAGGTGCTGGCGGTGGTGGTGGGGACCACCCAGGGAGGGCCCCCTCCCACAGCCAACACAGACACAGAAGCACACCCTCAAACCGCTGACAGGACCCAGAGTGAGTTCCGGCCTTTCTTCTAAGACTAGTTCTAAATGGAGTCAGTGAGAAGATGCTGTCTGCTTGGGAAGTCACTTCTCAGCTCACAGGTGGGGCTCAGAGAGAAGTCCGGGGTCTGCAGCAGATGCCAGCACGCTCAGGGGTCAGGGACAGACACCCCACAGTCAGACAGCGGAGGACTAAAATGGGGGAGAGGGCCGTGGTCTGCAGCAGACGCCAGCACACTTGGGGTCAGGGACACCCCACAGTGAGGCAGAGGACTGAAACTGGGGACAGTAGACCCTTCCCCCCACGAGAAACATTAATGTCCAGATGAGGAATGGACTTGTGAGGTGCTTCACTTTGTCCACAAACAAGCATTTAAGGAAATCAGCAAGTAAGAAAAAAGGGCCACAGGGCTCAAGCTGGGGAGGCAAACGCCAAAGCCGATGACCCAGGACAGGCTAGAAAACATCGGGACGCCTCACTCTGGGGTCAGCGACTGACCGGACACCAGTAGCTTGAGCCCCTGACGGTGGTGATGAGGCGCACGCTCACGCACCACAGGGCCACGCGGTGCTGCTGTCCTCGGGTGCCACAGAGAAGGCTGTGACCCACAGCGACCCTGCAGACAGCCGGGGCGGTGCCCGCTCTCACTTACCACCTCGCATGAACACACCTGGTCAAGCCCGGGGACCACCCGCCTGCCACGGCCACACTGCCGGCGGCCCGCCTGGTGACACAGTCAAAACCATCCAGCAAAACTGAACACTGCACGGTACGGGGGGAGTGCCCAAGCCATGGACGCACAACAGGAGGGGTGCCCCAATGCTACGGCACGCACAGCACAGGGAGGGGGTGCCCCAACGTGCTGGCACACACATCCCGGGGGTTGCCCCAATGCCACGGCACGCAGAGCACGGGAACGGGGGTGCCCCAACGCCACAGCACACGTAGCACTGGGGGGCGCCCCATTTCCATGTCACACACAACATGCAGGGTGCCCCAATGCCACAGCACCCTGGAATAGCGGCTAAGTTGACCATTTTAGGGCACGCAGTCGGGAAGGCACACCTCGTCCCCTGCCCTCTGCTCACGGCACATCACGGACTCCGCTGGGCCGTGTCACGGCCAGGGGTGGGGCAGCCCCGTGTGGGAAGGCCAGACACAGTTCGTCCAGCGGCACACTCATCCCTCATCCTGGTCCCACTCTGTCATTATCACAGCACTGCGCTGTCCTTCCTGCTGTCCGGTGACTAGACCACAGTGGAGCATGAACCCACACACACACACAGGGAAGCCCTGTCCCCGCGCCTGGCCGCAGGGAGCTCCCCTGTAGTACCGTGGTCACACACCAAGCACAGTGTCCATGAGGTCTGTGCACATCAGGTGGCAGAGGCCCTCGTGTGGACAGCAGAGTGCTGGGGGGACGGTGATGTGGAGGACAGCGGTGCATGGAAGCCCGGGGAGGAGACTACTCCAAGCCATCGAGGGACATTCAACGATGGGGACAGGGCTGGGACCACCCCATGCCCAGCACCTTACAGGGCCTGAGGGCTAGCAAGCTCTGAGCGAGCAGCGTCACGAAGGCCCCGGGACAGGCGGGAGCTCACCTTACACACGGTCGGCGGCCAGTGGTGGACCATGATCAGCTTCTTCCACTCGTGGCTCTCCCTGCAAGAGACAAACCAAGTGAGGTCCACTCCCCACTGCGAGGCTGAGGAGGGGCAGTGCTCCCACAGGCCTCCAAGGCCGTCACCCAGTGGGAGCTGACTGCCCCAGCCTCCTCCCTGGCCTGGGGCTGGGTGCAAACCTCTGACCTTCCCATCAGCAGCCAAGTACTGAATCCTGTGCCACCAGCACACCTGGTTAACGACATGACAAAACCCTGCAGGGCCCTAGAATCAGAACTGGCTCTGAGCTGACCTGCCCAGAGCTTTCAGAGGCTGTACAGGGTGGGGGGGAGACGGCCCAGCGTCCGCCTGGAGCTGGGGTGGGTGTGGCAATGCAGCTCCCTACCCACAAGCTCCCTGTCAAAGTCCAGCGTTTCATTGCCACAAGCCTTTATAAAGTCACACCGAGGCAAAACGGCGTCAGTGAAAGAAATCAAAGCTAAACTTGCCTGACATTCACCCGGTCACCCATCAGTCCGAGTGTCCAACTCAGGCCGGCCAGGTGCATGGGACAGACAGGTGGGACTCTTGTCCACCAGACAAGACATGCCCGTGGAGCAGATGCAGGCACAGAAGAGAGAAGCGGGTGGCCCCGGCCCAGGTGCAGACACCCTGGATGCCACCCAGTAGAAACTGAGTCTGGGGGAGGGCAATGAGCATCACCCCCCAGTTTACAAAAAACCAAGAAGATCCTGGCTGCCTGCACCTCCACGGTGCTCAGAGGAGGGTCCCAGGGCGAGAAGGTGCACAGAAGAACACACCTGGGAGAGTGTCGGGAGCCCTGAGGACACGGGGGTTACAGTCACCCCATGGGACAGGGCAGTGTGGCCTGGTGAAGACAACGGCCGTGGGGTCCCTGTGGGGCACAGGAGTTGGACAGATGCAGGGCCAGTGGGTTCAGCTGAGTTTCGAGGGGGATGCTGACAGTGGACACCCCACCAAGCAGAGGCCAGAAGGAGACCAGGTCCCTGCTACCAGTCAGTTCTTAGAGAGACATAAGCTCACCTCTCTGGGGCCGGTCAGTCAGACGAGAGGCCGCATCTATGGGAGCAAGCAGACTCTGTCCACTGTCTCTGGAGACAGGGACCCACTACTGTCCATCAGCCATTGCTCCAGGCCTTCCAAAGTAGAAGATAAATCAGCAGTGGTGCTTAGCTGTTATTGTTACGAGCGAGCTTTCGAGTCACCTGCGACTCAAAGCCACCCTTCAAGCAACAACCCTGTCCTGAGACAATCTTACTGTCTCCGACCCACCCACCTGCATTACCCCAGTTACTGTGTCAACCCATCTCATCTAGGGTCTCCCTCTCCTGCACTGTCTCTCTACCCTTTCAAGTATGATATTCTTCTCCAAGGACTGGTCCCTCCTAGCCACATGCCCAAAGTATGTGAGACAGAGTGTCAAAATCCTTGCTTTCAAGCAGCAACCTGGTTTCACCCTCTCCAGGACAGACCTCTTTGTTTTCTTGGCAGTCCATGGCATGTTCAATATTGTCTTCCAGCACCACAACTCAAAAGCATCGATTCTTCTCTGTCATCCTTAGTCACTGTCCAGCTCTCAGATGCATAGCAGTAATTGAGAAGACTATGGCCCAAATCAGGCGCACCTTAGTCTCTAAACTTGACATCACTGTCCCTCAGTACTTTAGAGAGACCTTGACAGCAGACTTTCTCAGTGTATTACGTCTCCTGATCTCCTGACGGCTGGTACCAAGGGTACTGACTGTTGATCCAAGTAAGAGGAAATCATTAACAACCTCAGTTCTTTCCAAACATTTGCTAAGCATCTAAGAGTTGGACAATGAATGAGATGGAAGAAGAATCGATGCCTTTGAGTTGTGCTGGTGGGGAAGAGTACAGAATATCCCGTGGACTGCGCAAATAATGCCTGGATGATTGGAGAAGGGACAGCCAGGGTGCTCCTCGGAGGCGACGCTGGAGAAGTGTTGCCTCCCATCCTCCGGACAAGCTGTTCGGGAGGCCATTCCTTGAAGAGAGGATGTGCTTGGAAAGGTGAAACGGAATGAAAGGAAGGAAGACTCAACGAGATGGCCTTGATACGGTGACCGCAGCAATGGGCTCAAGTGTGTCAGAGATGGTGAGTGTGGCACAGGACAGGACAGGGTCCAGGTCTGCAGTCCACAGGGTTGCTGTGGGCAGCCCTCAACTCAGCAGCACCTCAGAGCACCACTGCGGAGCATTTCTAACGAGCCGGTCGTGATCCAAATGAAACAGCACAGGAAAGATCATGCCGCGGTATTCAAAGCAGTACCCCCCAAGAAATGTAAACCCGACTCTTCAACAGCTCTGCTGACCAGAAGAACCCCATGACAATCAGCGTCAGGAAGAAGAAAAGGAAGTGGGCAGGGCCAGGAGGGAAATGGGGCAGGCACCTAAAAAGAGGAACAGAAGTCGCGTTACCAAACACTACCCTGCAATATAAAAATAATATCGCTGCCATCAACAACTCCCGGATTCCAACACCACCAGGAGAGTTCAACGACCCCAGAGCCACAGCCGAGAGCCACACAGCACGTCGCAGTCAGCAAACGGCGGCTGGGGAGCAAAGACGTCACCCAAGGTCGAAGGCGCAGCCTCCCCACGCCTTGATGGTTCAATCGTGTCACGTGCCTGCAATCTGAGCAAATGATCTGAGAAGCTGGACTGTCTGAGGAACGTGGGGACTCAGCAACCTGTGACACGCAGGTAATACCACCCATCTCTCCTTAACCATGAAGACAACGTGAAGCACTTACTGAAGATCAAAGACCACAGTCTTCAGTACAGACGCCACCTCAACATAAAGAAAACAAAACCTCCCAGACCTGGACGAGCAGGTACCACTAGAAGCCAAGGAAACACCAGCGTTGTCCAGGACTTCATCTGATGCACATGCACACACAACCCCCACAGATACAGCAGTCACTTCAGACGTGACATACCACACTGATCACAGGTAAAAGCTTTGTAAGGACGCGGCCTTCACTGAGAAACTTAGGATGAAACTACAAGAATTAAAACAGAAGTTTTTCTTGCAGATGCCACTGCACCTTCAGGTAAGCTGCTGGCCCCATCACTAAAACACCCTGTGGGCGGTGTCCAGTTCACTCTGGGCTTTAAACATGAAAATTACAGGGAGGACCTTTAACCTCTCCTTCTTATGTACCAATGAGGATGTCAGGATTACATAATAAAGCAACATTTATGAAGAGGATAAAAAAGTCATACACTGCATTGTGAAAATGTGTTGTCAAAGACCTCTTTAAAGTGCTGACAAAGCAAAGAGTAATTCTGAAGATGCATGTATACACCTGATCCAACCACAGTCCTTTCAGATGTCTCACACGCAAGGTCAAGCTGGCCAGTGAATGAAGAGGCCAAAGAGGCCATGCCCTTGAAATGCAGTGTTGGCAAAGGTTTCTGAATATCCCACAGACGGCCAGAAGAACAAA